TGTTTTTGTTCAGTTGTCAAGACATGTTTGATTCTTCATGACCCCATGGACCACAGCTCCCCTGACTTCCACTATGTCCCAGAACCTGCCCAAGCCCAAACCTACCGTGTTGATGACACTATTGAACCATTTCATCCATCCCCTTTTCCTTTTTCCTTCAATCTTTCCAAATATCAGGGTCTTTTAATAATGAGTCCTTGCTTCTCATTTGATGGCTAAAGTATTTGAGCTTCAGCTTCAATATCTCTCCTTCCAAAGATCAGTCAGGGTTGAGTTCCTTTAGGATTGACTAATTTGATCTCCTTTCAATCCAAGGGACTCTTAAGAGTCTTCTCCAAAACCACAATTCTAAAGCATGAATTCTTTGCTGCTCAGTCTTCCTTATGGTCCAACTTTCACAGCTATATGTTACTACTGAGAAAATCATAGCTTTGACTATATAGACTTTTGTCAGCAGGGTGATGTCTCTTCTGTCAAAAGTTATAGCAAAGGAATATATTCTGAAAAGCAGTAGTGTCTACTTTACCTACATTGTGCACATGTTACAGAAGGTCCATGTATATATCAGTAGAATGAACCATAATGAAGAATGAACCATATCCATAATCTGAAAGCAAAATAGGTTTGATCTTTAGTTTATCCAATCTTTATCAATTAGGTTACAAATGTTTAGGATTCCTCACTGTAAGCAGAAGAACATAGAATCATGAGGTTAGAAGGGACCTTAGAAGTCTTCTAGTCCAACTCCCTGTCCAGCCCAGGAATTCTCATCCTATGCCAGACAAATAGTTATCCTCACTTTGTGTGAAAACCTCCAATGATGGTGTACCCATGAGTCCAAGAAGCTCCTCCACAATTTAATAAGCTCTCATGATCAGGAAATGTCTAGTTTAAAATAAGGAACAAGATGATTATTAGATTGACACTTATACTGAACTTTGTGTATATTAACATTCCTTTGGACTCTTCATTTTTGTGTAATGATGGGAAATTAAACTAACAGAGCATTCAACTAAAGTTCATACGGTAATGAGAATTCCATTCAGTTCTGTTCTTCTGCTCAAATGTCATCAAACTATCTATCTATCTATCTATCTATCTATCTATCTATCTATCTATCTATCTATCTAT